GGAAAATAATGGATACTTACCCATTCGTCTATAACAAGACCTTCACCGACCACACGTGGGCCCGTATCAGTCGGTGGAGGCTTCTTTCGGGCTTCTAGTGCAGCATCGGCTTCTGCTAATTGACGCTTAAGTTTATCGAGGGCCTTAAAGAGAAACAATTTTAAGTGAGAAGAGAGGACTAGGCAATAAGAGTAATATTCAGAACAATTTATATACATATATTTCGGGTCTTACAGGATTAGGACGCTCGGGATCCAAGAAAACAACCCGTAATATACGTTCAACAGTAACTTGATCCTTTTGCTCGTCAAACTACAGAAGAATCCAAATTGCAGATGATGAATTGTTGAAAATTATCTTTCAAGGAAAAAAAAAATAAAATAAAACAACAAATATCAAGCCATGTGCAGGTCAATTATTCTGGCTTGTCAATTATGAAAGCAGGAAATATGAAATGTAAAGTACTCTGAAATTGTTCTTCCAGCTAATGGCACTAATTTGATGCATTTTGGCAGCATATATAGTATATACTAATGTTTAATCAAAATCTGGCCGCTGGTTCTCGTTAGGACAAGGAATCAAAAAGGACAAAAAAAGAAAAAGATAAAAAAAAAAGAAAAGAAAAAGAATTCAAAAGGGAAGACCAAGCAACATAACCTGATATGTCTAAAGGGACATTGCTATCATAGGACGAAATAATATTGAAAATAATATTGGAGTCAAACAATTATGAAGAGCCCACAAGCATAAAATGTTAATATAAACATGACATATGTGGAAGAATTTGGAGAAATGACTTCAATTTCTACCCATGAAAGAAGCCTTACAAGTTGCATGGACAAAAAATATATAAAAAAATAGCAATATATAATGTGTATTCTTAGAAACTCGTGGTAATATTAGTATGCCACAGATTAGAGCGGAGAAGCTCAAAAACGAAAGTATGTTCTTGAAGATAAATGATACAAAAAAAAAAAAAAAAAAAAAAAAAAAAAAAAAAAAAAAAATCCTCTAATTTTCAACCTAAAGACTAGAGTCAAAACAGTGTACACTTTTTTAATCTCTAAAACGTTGGTCCCACAAGAGCTCTTCTTAAATGATCTTAAACTATCACAAAGTTTCAATATACTCAAAAATCATGCATTCAACCACTAAGGCTATGTTTGGTAATCAAATAAGTTAACTTATAACTTATTTGGTTAGCTTATAATCTTCCTGTATTCAAATAAGTTTGGTTTGGTAAGACGAGTTTTTTAAAAAGCTCGAGCTTATCTCATAGCTTCTTTGGGTAGCTTTTCAACGTTGAAATTTTTTATTTCAGCTAGCTTCTTATCAGCTAATTTTACCAAACACGTTTATCATATAAGCTAGTTTTTCATAAGCTATAAGTTATAAACTCGAAAATCACTTATCAGCTATCAGCTAGGTTTACCAAACATAGCCTAAGTAACTATAGTATTATAACCCAACAATCGGCAGGTGAGCAATGCTTTTACGGAGGTAAAGTTAACTCACCAACTCAGGCAAATAATCTGTTCCTTCATTAACTTTAAGACTCATAATCTTGAACTTAACCTTGCTCTCCTGATTTACACGTTTCTCGTTATTCTCCGGATGCTCCACGAACTTGAACACTGGCAAAACAGAACACGCGTTACGATTTATCAGACGTACTACACTTCTTCACTAGAAAAATCATTTCTGAAAGATTTTTTCAATTTATCGTTACCAGTGGCTACGAGGCCTTCTCCAGGAGCAAGAATACCACCGGGTGGTCGCATAAAACAGCTCTTGGGAGCAGTCGTTTGGAACTAAAGACAGTACAAAAAGCCATCTAAGATAGGTCATCTATAATGGTGCCATCTATAAAATCTAACTTCAAAGGCCTAAAGATTTTTTTTTATTCAATCAATGTAAGAGTTGCCATTCTAACTTTCATACTACTGTTTCAACCCTTTTGTAATTTGATGTTATAGACTCACTTAGTTCGGACCTCAATGGATACATCAAACAAACATCAATATATACACAAAGTAAGAACAAGAAGTCATAAAAAGGAATCTTGCGTTACAAAAGCCATCTAAGATAGGTCACCTATGAATTATGATGTTGTCATCCATATCAGTTATCTTCAAAGGCCTACAGATTAGTTTCTTCAATCAGTGTTAGGCATTACAAATTTATCTATTTCAACCACACTTTTCTTATTTGACATATCTCACAAACATCAATACATACAGAAAGGAAGAAA